GCCTACCACAAAAATAGACCAGTTATCTTTAGCTCAATGATCAGACTATGTTCTTACTTCAACTGTTTCCCCTGTATACATATTTTTTTTTCTAATATACTGACTCACCCACCATTTGTTTTTATTTTTTTATTATATTGTAAAATTATGTACCAGTTAGCTAGTGAATGACATGAATGTTCACATTAGTTTCCCGGATCTACAAAATAACTTTTAAATTCTAACTTTTGTTTTTCAAACAACATCTGACAACATTTCCTCAAAAGCCATGGTATCGTCGCATCTTTTCTTCTTTCGATGGTACATGTACCACAAGCCCTTAAGACAATACGAAACGTCTACAAAGTAACGTAAACGTGGTCGGTTCTTTTGTAAAATCAGAATTGATAAAACAAAACAACAGATGTCAACAAAATCACAATCCAAACTCGAAATTCAACAAACCTTACGCAAAATTTGAACAAAGAAAGATCTTCACGGGGACATCCTGAAAATGTTCAATTAGAATAAGACCCGGTGTTGACCCGATCTCAACATGGTATTTAGATAATTTGTTAACAATGAAAGTAACCAATATCTTTAGTGACAGACAATTTTCAGTACGAATCAAATAATCGCTGATACGTCATGAACTTTTCTTTTCTTCGTCGTGTTTCATTTTAATCAAATGATGTAGCCCACATCGCTTTTAATAGTGACTTTGAACAATGTGATATCGCCCCTTTTGTTGCTGAGGCAAATGATTCCATGGGTATCGGTAAGTAGAGCTGTGTATACGTGTCTCAGTTGATATAATGTGGTTTAGGTAACTTCCATGGGTATCGGTAAGTAGAGCTGTGTATACGTGTCTCAGTTGATATAATGTGGTTTAGGTAACTTCCATGGGTATCGGTAAGTAGAGCTGTGTATACGTGTCTCAGTTGATATAATGTGGTTTAGGTAACTTCCATGGGTATCGGTAAGTAGAGCTGTGTATACGTGTCTCAGTTGATATAATGTGGTTTAGGTAACTTCCATGGGTATCGGTAAGTAGAGCTGTGTATACGTGTCTCAGTTGATATAATGTGGTTTAGGTAACTTCCATGGGTATCGGTAAGTAGAGCTGTTTATACGTGTCTCAGTTGATATAATGTGGTTTAGGTAACTTCCATGGGTATCGGTAAGTAGAGCTGTGTATACGTGTCTCAGTTGATATAATGTGGTTTAGGTAACTTCCATGGGTATCGGTAAGTAGAACTGTGTATACGTGTCTCAGTTGATATAATGTGGTTTAGGTAACTTCCATGGGTATCGGTAAGTAGAACTGTGTATACGTGTCTCAGTTGATATAATGTGGTTTAGGTTACTCTCAGTTTTACTTTTTATCAATTATTTGTTAGATGACCCAAAATCAAACTAACCGATATTGGGGCGTGCGTATTTCTGTTTCATGAAAGTGGGACCAAAAGGATATTAAGGAGACTGGACATGCAGCATCGGGATGTTGATTTTACCTTTGTTTGCTGTCTTTTTTCCCTGAGCGTCATATTTAACTCTTCATGATACCTCTCTCTATATGCCTCTGCTTGTTGTGAGGACGTTAAACAACGCTAAAAACACATCCATTTCCTCGCTGCTCGCTAGGTCTACTTCAACTGTATATGAGAACTATCTTATTTCGAGGAAAACTATGCTATTGCTGATTCTGAGTATGTAAAGAGCAATAACTCTCATCTATGTTCCACTAAAATACTGGTGTTTGAATTCCTCTTATGGGCACACATGTTTGCTTATATCATATTCTTTTGAATTTCGCACCAGTCAAGTAGCGAAGCATACGCGTGAACGTAAACGCGTGTTTCTTCGCTGACTTTCGAAAGACCATTTTGAAACGTGTTTCCTTGTAGTTGATGCCTCACTTAGAAAGTTGCATACCATTCAAACATTGAGTTAAAACGTCTTATTTATTATTACATCACAAAGGTGAACAAACAAATTTGGATTTACAAAATTGAAATGAAGTTATTATCTGTATCTAACGCATGATGTAAAACGATTTTTTGATAAGGGTTATATGTGAATCTGCCTATAATTTGCCTTCAATAAATATGAATAATAACGAAGAGTTAAGAAGTTTTTAAATTCGAAAAAGACTTAAAATTCTAAACACTTTTTGTTTTAGTTTCCAAAATTGAAGAAACGATTTTGATAATATGAATTTCAGGTTACGAAGTAATGTGTGTGTTCTGTAAAATTGTCCATGATTGAGTATTTCTGGTCATCCATTACTGGTAGGCATTTACATGTCCCTAATGAACGATATAAACAGGGAGTGACCGGCATGCGATATTCGCGGATCACGTAGTTTAAAGTGTATGGTCATGGATCACCTCTGAGATGTAGGGCATTAAACCGCCATTTCGGCCGATAACCGATATATAGTTATCTACTATTTGTACATGTACAGTTAACAATTCCTATTTCCAAAATGTACCAGAATAGACCTTGCAAATCGTTTTAATTCATTTCACTTTCAGTTAAATTGATGACGTCTTATTGTTAACGTGGAACGAGCGTCGGTCAGCGATCCGGGGAATGAACACCGAAAAGATTGATTGCAATGACAAATGTTTATTTACAATGATGACAATAAAGAGATTAAATAAAAAAAACCTATAATACCCACACGTCACACTCACTAATTCACTCATTCACAAACACAATTATTACAAGTTACAGTCTGTAGCTACACACACAACGACGAATGGGATCCTGGTACAGTTCCGGTGCAAGACAGTCGCTAACCTGCAACCACGCTCAATCCAGAGCCAAGAGGTATAAACACATCAAGCAGCACCATGCTTGCTTGAAACGCCCAAATTGGCAAACTCACTAGTGTCCAAGACACGACAGGAAAGCTGGGATGTACACACTAGTGTCCTTGACACGACAGCCATCCCAATAGTAGATATACTGTGACTCAGCCTCCAAGCAAGTCGCTGACCCTGGCCTACGTAACGACCCAACACATGTATTCCATGCTGACCTTGACCCTGGCGAAGAGAACTTATCCGGTCGGTCCTGACGCTGGAGTCACAATGAGTTGGCACAGCTGACTGGTCCTGGCTTGATAGCTGAGAATCCTAGTCCGTTATGTGAAGCTACAATAATACATAGTGGAAAATAATGCTGTAGTCACACAGATTCACTCTCACCTGGCATACTAATTAACTAATAATTAATTATCAATAATATAAATATTCATTAATATATTGTAAATATACGTAAATCAATATAATAAAGATAAAGGGATAAGTGTGCGGCTCCAAATGGCTATAAAAACACGACTCAGCACAATTCATAGAAGTTGGCGTCTCACGGCTTCCATACTTTTTTACCCAGTGCGCGTACACACTCCAACTAACGCTATAGCTCTAGCTCAGAGCTTCCATAGAATTTTAAAACGGACAAGAACCCTATATTTATTAAATAATTCTACACACAACAATCTATTATGTTTATATTATCTAAATACACCAGAAATCAATAGGAAGTATGAAATTAAAATGATATAGCAGAAACACACCACAAAACAAGTGTACTACATGTATCAACAATAGTTACGCATGATTGGAGCGCACCGACACCTCGATTGCTTGACCCGATAGATTTGACGGCATGGATAAAATAATGCCAGAAAAAAAACATATGGAAACGGAAGAAAGAAACATAACTTACCACAGTCTGTCGTCTGTGCCTTGTTCACAATATCGGAAACAGCTATATTTACATATCGGTTACACGAACTCACAAAACTGTGGACCGTAAACAAGTGTCCATTTCGTGCACAACCGGTCAAGCCCGTGACGTATATCCGCCCAGTGGTGCGGACAATTAAGAGTCCTTACACCGCAAAACAAACTCAAATTAAAACTTACCATTTATAGACAAACTATACATGCTTACGTGACATGTATTACCATTATTATGACATGGACTTATGACATGGGAAAACGAGTCGGTTATGTGATAAACATGTAGGTACATTTATTATTCGTTTTTTATATCAATATTAATCACCTGTAACCAATATACGCATAATGATAAGATATTGCGCATTCGGACGTATATTAATTTTCATTTATATCATAAATTCCCATTTCAAAGTTACTAAAATACATATAAAAAAAAAAGAAGAGAATTTATAATTAATATTATGTATCTTTTAACACAATCTATTGACTCAAATGGGGAAAATGTTATCTTGATAGATATATGCAACTAATTCTGTGTATTCTGTGATATAGTTCGCCTGCATTGCTGTCTGAACGCGAAGTTTCGATATTCCGTAACAGTGTTGTGTTGCTGAAGTGTTCTCTTCCATACCCGCTTTAATGTCTAATGCTTTTTTGCTAATATTATTTATATTGTAAGTTGAGACAAAAATCAACCAAGAGATCATAGTCATTCCATGAAAGATAAACCTTGAACTTATTCCATATAGCAAACTTGATTGAATCTGAGCGCCATTTTCGTCCGGTCATTACATGACGCATAAATTATTATCAAATGGCTTTTCCTGACAAACATTTTGTTGACATTTTAGCGGCATATTCTATTTGATTGACATAATACAGATAACATAGGAGACGTAATATTGAACATAATAAAAGTAAAGTAAAATCGAACCTTTATTAATGGAAGTATATCATTATATAAGCATCTATAACTAAAGAGTCGTATAACTACAACGGAAAGGAAACACGCTACCATTGACGTGTAAATAAACAAATAACATCGCCAAACAATGTTTATTGGACACTAATGTTCGAGTCCATTAAACACTTCAACCCGAAACTTCAATTACCTTTAAACTAAACAAATGAAAGTTAAATAAACACTTTCAATATGTATCTTTAGCGAGACCTAGTGAGAATAACAAACACATTATTAAGATAATGGACAGTTTTATCATAACGGTCAAAGAGTACCCTGGACGCTGCCATTTGGTTACATGAACTATGAAGAAATCGGTGCAACATTTCGGTCTTCTGTACATGATGATACAACATGTTATATGTGGTAAGTTGACAATTTCATTAGAATTGGATTTGTTACAAATTTCTGCTAAACACTATAACGATGATAATGTTGATATTTGCAAAGTTCGTAATAGTTACGTCGAGATGGAATACGTTTGTCAGTATTTATAATTCATTATTTGTGAAAATATGGCATGTTTTTTTAGCAATCTCTATACGAACGAAATAACAACATGCACCGGTACCTGATAAAGATTAAAACTAAAACGTCCTTATCACAGAATATTGATTAAGGAAGTTTACCAATATCTTTTAGATGAAGGTATCCTCGATTTGGTAACAGGAGAAAATGGCATTTCTGACAATGCGCTAACAGCGTCATCATATCTCCAATGTTGTCCTGCACAAATGGCTAGATTTAACAGTAGCCGTGCCTGGTGTGCAGGAAATGTTCACATAGGCGGAGAGTATATCCAGGTAATACTGAACATAAAACAAATCAAGTTATAGAAAATTTCGCAAGGATAAATAAGCATGCCGTACAAGAAAATAAAAAAACCAAATTTCAAAACCAGCAGAGTTTACCATACACAGTAGGTTCTAAACATATGTTATATGTATACCCTGAATCAATTTACAAGAAATGCTTAAAACTATGGAAGTAACATCTAAATCTTACAAAGCTAAGAGATGTTCTCAAAGGCTTTTACGTGAAAAACTCAATTTTCCCGAAAGACGTAACACCTAACACAGACTTAAACCTACTTCAGTTAAGATAAACACGAACGTCATTTACAAGAAATACGAAACACGAATTAGAAATACAGCATGATAATTGTGTATCAGGTATTAGAAATAACAAATGCCTTAAAGTATTGCATCTATCACATCAAAAGATTGTACAAAAACACACATTTCGTCCTTTTAGGGTTCGTCAGTGATGCTATGAGCTTAAAGTGTGTACCATATGAGATGACTTGGAAAGATCAAACATAATCGAAAGAAATGTCAATATCTAATTGGAGAGAAGATATCTAGCTATGAATAAATATGAGAGATTTACATGGAGACGTCTGAAAAAGTACACGGAGAATAAGTCCAGGTATTCCGAAAAAAGTGCGTGTCTTGTGCTTCATCGACGACACCCACCATGTAAATCGCGATCAATCCAAGTAAATAATGTCACATTCTCAAATGAAAACAAGGTATACAACAAAGGAGCCAACAAGCAAACTAAAGAGCATTAAAAACGTCGAGCTGAATAATAGAATAAGTCTCAATGAGATCATCATGGCGACCAAAAATCTTCCCAATAATATTCATCGTTCTGCTTCTTTTGAAACTCTGCGTTACAAGTTCGTTTGTCAGCTGACGACTTCCTGCACGAAAATCGCGATAATGGGAACAGGCTAGTGATATTTGATTATAATAGGTTGGGGATGCATGGATATTCCTATCCAGAAATGAAATAGTGGTGTACAGGATAGAAAATCAAATGTTGTTATAAAAGAGATTTTAGAAGTAGGTGCTTAAGATTAGTAAAGCGCTCATTGGAGTTCTTCAAAATCCACACACATTTACAGAAATATGTCATCTTTAATGTTTAGGCATCTGTCTAAATGTATTTCAGCATGTATTGAGATATACATATATTTACATTCTTGGCTTGGTTTCTTCATTAACAACTAGGTCATTAATTGAAAATGGTATCATTACTATTTATTTTAAAGTGGTGCGTTCTTGTGTATTGGAGTCCAATTAAACAGGCCCACAATTCTATTCATAAAAAAGGTGGAGTTTAAGACAGTTTCGACACTGAAGGCAATCGAAACTCTTGGTCGGGCAGATTCCAACCAATGGGTGTCATCATACAATGTCAATATCAGTCTGGATGGAATCACTTGGAATTACATAATGAACTCCACAACAGGCGAAGTGAAGGTAATACTTATCGACTTCGTGTGCTGTTATGTATATGCGACAAAAGGCCTTTTTAGGAACAATTGAAATTTGCCAATGAACTAATTTAAACTTAACTGAATGATTGTTGTAACACTTAAAATGATAACCCAGGAAATGTGTTACAAAAACGCCTCTGGGGCCTGTGATATGATATATTTAGTGCAGCGAATCATGAGTATGAAACAAGGACTAATATTTTGTAAAGATATCAATCAAAACATTAGTTAACACCATCAAATTGCATTATTTTGAATAAGTAGAATGTGTTACAATTAATGATCTGGAAAAGGTAACGTGATATTGCAAAATGATGAAATTTTCAACAATTCCAAAAGTTGAAAATGTTAATTTGTAATTTTAGATATGACAATTTTTAATGGATGTCATGCATCTATTTCCGGTTTTCTTTCGCCATAAAGATATGTTATTTTGCGCAATTTGAAAATTTAGATAGAAATGTAGAAAGATCATCAGAGTTTGTATGAATATGTTCCTGTTAAAAAAAATCACTTTTGCGTCTAAATTACCTTTACTTCTTAAATGGCATCAGCTAAGTCTTCAATGCATTTTGCCACTGTTTTTTTTTAAATATCACTTAAAATCATTAAATGCAGGAACGGTAACCTTTCAGTACTTTTTGTTTTAAGTAACAATGTGTTCAACTACAAACACTTATCTCTGATTGCAAATATGACGAAATATTTGAAAAATACGACCAATTACAAATCAACCGTTTTTGTGCGACGAAAATGCAATTAGCAACAGACCAGAATTATGAAAAGCTAAGAAGTATTGTAAAGATATTGTAACAGATTAGGTTAAATCTATAAACGTAAAAAAGATGTCCAGAAGCCCTTTTACCTCGTAAAACAAATAAACGATCATAAATCCATATATCCTAATTTTATTTCAGAACATAAAATTCGAACTCTGTTTTTATCAACAGTTTTACTCGTTTACCTATATATTTTTGAAATCTAATTCTGAAAAGATACATAAATGTTGATTGCACTTCTCGGTGTTCGGTTCAACATGTTGAACGAGAACTATACATCACTGACAACTTTTACTTTCTAGAGCATCATTCAATGCATGAAGCAATCACTTTATCAGAGTTTTAAAAATTCAAATCTTTGAAAAAAAATAATAAACTAATCATTGCTTTGATTTTCCTCTGTGAAGCGTTTCCCGGGGAATTTTGACAGGTTAACAATCGTCACCAACGAACTGGATGGGAATGTCATTTCAAAGTACATTCGCATCATACCCATTACTTTCCAAGGCTATCTGTCGATGAGACTTGAGGTGCAAGGATGTCCAGCTGCAGATCTTTGTAGTGAGTTTTCATTTTGAGATTTCGGCTTTTTCGAATTACATTGTAATGACATCATATCTTTTCTTTCAGCTTTCCTTGGTAAAACTGTCATTATAATATATTTGCATAATTACTTTTAGTCAACTTGACTGCCACATTTATCATGAACAACAATAACAATGTCGCTGACGTATAAATATAAATATAGAATAAGATCTACTTAAAGGCTGATGAAGGGCTGGTATTTAGGAAAATTACTTCTAAGACGTTTGTATACAATTCGAAATATTGCAGACCAATTTTTATCTGGCATAAGACCTCGATGTGAGCAATATTCCTAATTCCTTGAAGAATACGTGTTAACAATTTGTAGCCAATCTTTAACAAGCATAGATAAGCAGTTGTCAAACAATTTTATATTTGGTAATGAGATATAAAGTGGGTTAAGTTTAACTATATTTTATACACAGAAGTTTTCAATATACTAGTACCAGGTCTAAATATCTATGATGCCTCGATAATTTATCGATGTATTTTTCTACAGCCACTTGTCACAAATGGAAAAAAGTGTTAGGGTCCATTGGCGATTTTTTCACCGTTCTCATGGACATAGAAATGCCAAATCAAGGAGCTTGCGGATTGATCTGTTGCAGGACAGCCGGGTGTGACAGCTTCATGTTTGTGGTCGCAAACAATCAATGTACTTTACTTACATCTACCTTGATATTGAATAGCCTTGTGAGCGTGGATGGAGTATGGTATTTCATAAAAACAGTATCTCAGTAAGCGTAACATTTTCCAAGTGAATGAAAAAGATAATTTATGTATCCGAATGCCATCTATATATAAATTATTATCATAATGAAATTCAAAATATTTTCGAGCTTAATATAAATACGTGTTGAGATGACAACTGATCATGACTGATAGTGCAATTTAGCCTTGAATTACACAACAGCAATGACTTTAAGTGTATACTTGAGATCTTGTGAAACTATTATTTTTAGATCAAACATTTTATCACAAGCCGAAAGGCATTTCATGAAAATTGTCACTATTAGAATATAAGATATGCACCATGTGATTATTATGGTAGATGCATGGTCAGTAGAAGACATGCATCGTTTCCTTACTCGTGACGTAACAAGGTTATCATCATAAAAAGTGGTGAATTTCATACAAAGTTTCGTGATGTAGACAGACGATGATGGGTTAGTTCACGGTCGTTATAATGATCTCTTTGTGAAGTTAACTGTCGTGTTGTGACATTATTTGCCACACTTACCTTACCAGAGCAACGGGTCTTATTATATTTGTAGTTTTGCAGGAGTTTCTGCATAAATATTTTCTGTATTTTTACTTTGCCCTAGATTCAAGAAATTAATGTTATAACTCAGAATTTGTAAACATGTCGGTATTGTCTTTGTTGTTACTAGTTTTGTCGATTTGAAATAAAAAAGATAAAATAATAGACTCCTATTCTTAGCGTTCAGTCGATACATTAAATATGGGTCATGGCGTGATATTCATATGACGCCTAGTTAATAAAGTATATATATCGTGACCTCAACTTTGACGTCAATGATTTGTATGTTATAAAATGCAGAGAATCAAAGTCAATATTCAAATAAATGTATAGCATAAAACAGCAAAATAATTTCCTTTGACATAAATTTGTGCCGTTTAATAAGAAAGGATAGTGACCTTACTCTATTTGTGTTTATATATTTTCATGTTGATCTGAACAATCCTATATATTGTTGTTTACATATGTATCTTATTGAGAACAAAACAACAAATTTCATCAAAAAAAAAATTCAAGTTGGTAATGTCTATAGAATAGAGGTTCTTATAACACAACCAGTAGAAGATTAGAGTGTGGCATTTTGATAACTACGTGGTCACTTTCATCAGATAAATGACCAATATGGAGCTTACTAGCACAGACGTACGTAGTGAACGAGATAGTAAGGGATCCACCATTTTGTTTTGACTGTGCTATAATCCTGTGTAGATAAAGGTCGCAAATACGGTGATGAGATGGTGAACAGATTATAGACCACAAATACACAAGATGGTAACAATATACTAAAGTGAATTCGGCTACACTTGTTTAACACTGCGGTACTTATCCAAAACGTTCAGGAATTCATTTCACACAATTTAGTGTCTCTCTTTTCGTCAATACATTCACTTATAAAGCATTCGGTATCATCCGCCTATAGCAAGACCGCTCATACCGACAGAACTCCAAACTCTATATACAAGACATTAAGTTTCGATAACGTGTGTCTTTTGTGATACCGTCTATCAGCCATGAAACCTCACAAGTCTCTCCGTTATATCCTTGTCCATCTTAAGGATAAAATACCGAAAGAAAACTTCGCAGAATACAAATCGGATGCAAGGACTGTGACGCAACATATATCAGAGAAAAAGGCAGAAGCTTGGCGTCCGACTCAATAACCGTCAGAAAAACGCGGAATTTCAGGAAGGAAAAAAGCAAAACCACTAGATCAATATATCAGCATTTACAGATGCAAAATCACTGGGAAAATTCTTTTCATTCATGTTAACCTGAACATATAGCACACTGTACTGCACACTTTATACAAACTCATACGTCAGCAGACTTTTATGCCTTAGCAAAGAACGATGCCTTGATGGAAAAGATATAAGGAACTGGAATGAGCACAGTGCTACTATACCGCTTGATTTGTCTGTCTTTGTCCATAAACATTGTTGCTTTATTTTATTTCTGTATTAAATAACTAAACTTGTTTCCGATATAATAAAAAATATGTATACCAGCATTTACGATTCATAATGAACCCTTAAGCTCTACAATAATCAGGAAAGCTGTATGATGCCTCGGCGCTGAACGCCATATCACTGAAATATTTTGCCAGGGTTCAATATCTTACACAGTCCTGGTATGGCATCATTCTATACCAATGCTTTAAAGGTAATATTGAAATAGATTGGACTAATATTTACACTGGTATTCTGTTTAGTGTACCAGATTTGAACTATGGTATCTATTGGTAGTAACAAGAGCTACAAATTGTCGACATTTGTACAGGTGCTTATCACATTAACACAGTAGGATAAGACACAAACAGTGACGTGTAATATAGATCTGTATTATACCTCTCTGGATAAGACTTACATTGATCACATATAAAATATCACTCTACTGTACAGGGCTATGTATAATATGAAGGTGGAGTATGATGCTGGTTAGATACTTGTTAGTTCCGTTGTTGTTTACCATGTTTTCAATTGGAAATATGATACTACTTACTTGGATGGGTGTCGTCGACGAATTTGAGGACGCTTATCCTTCGAGAGCGTCTGGTCGCATTTTCCTTGTGTCTTTTCAGTCTCTTATTAAGTCCTCCTCCCTTGAAAGTTCATGAGAATTATGTTAGGATGAATAGAAACAGATTTTTTTAAACACTAGAACATGCTATGAACTACATATTGTCTAAGATTTCTTTCCGAGCATTAGGAATTGAACCTAGACACAGAAGTGAATGACATTTTTAATGTGAACTTAATAAATTGATGTATACCGAATAATGAATCAAACTGATCATATAACATTTCAGGAATTGTTAAGTGACTTCCTCAATGGGGTCTTAAGTATGACAAATTAAATGGGACTAAGTAAATTGCATTCGAATGAATCACATGTCAGTTGTGAATTGGGCGCCGTACTAAACAGACAGACAGACAGACAGACGGACGGCCGGACGGACGGCCGGACAGACGGACGGCTGACAGATAGACAGAGAGAGAAAGAGAGAGAGGTGGGGGAGGCAGAGAGGCAAACGATACTGAGACGACATATTGGTCTTATTATCAGGCACATTATCGAATGACCGTTAATACTTAAGTTCATCTGCCCAGTAAAATATATATATCGGCGGAACTACTTCAAAATCAAGTTATGTATGTGTAGCCCAATCGGAAGACATGATTTTTGTTTGACTTATCTCTGTATATAGGTACTAGTATACAGAACAGAACAAAATAAGTTGTGATTTAACAGATGGTATTTTGTCACCAACACGTATGTGAAAAGAGAATCCTAATGGGGACCAATCAGCGACATATTTAGCGTTCTCCTTGATACGAATGCAGGATATATGTGGGTTCATGTGTTACGGACAATCCGAGTTCAGCAGGCTTCCAGTTTAACGTCACCACTAACCGCTATAGGTTACTAATTACAGCTCGCAGTCACACGGCAAATGTCATTTTGAATCTGAATAGAGTTGTGCATTTCGTGAATATACTTAGAGGTATACAAGGACGCTTTCAGGGCTTTTTATACAGCGTGATAACAGCAATATCAAAGTCAGTTGACCGTAATGTACAATACATTCTTGATGAACAATGAAATGTTGTGAAAAACGGATGTGGAAAGTATTATATACGGTACGTTGTAGTGGAATATTTCCAAGGATAGCGGCTGGAAAAACTTATTCAAATTTAAAATAAATTACTCAACACTTAAACAGGTAAAAAGAAATATAATTTATGTCGGCGGAGAAGAAATATAAAATGAGAATATAAAATAGAGGAATCAGTTCTTTAGCACTTCTAATATATTTTCTAAGCGATAAGGGGTCAATTCAACAACCAACATCGAGATACAAAATGATATAAAACGGTCCTATCCGATGGTAAATAACTGTCAACAAACTGGAGTCTTCATATCAATTCAAAGAAAAAAGTAGACAACTTACTCTTTAATTTTTTGCTTTCTGTGTCAATCTCGTGGTAATTTTGTTTTTCAAAACTGCAACAAATTACACAACTTAGAATCGTCTTCTTTTCAGAAATGATTGACAAAGATGCTTTAGTGTTATTCACTGATATTTAATGATATTCGATAAAAGAAAGATTCTTTTTCAGATTTATTCTACAAACAAAACCAGTAGTGTGATTTGGAATGTATCTTCTATTTTATTGTAAAGTGTATTATTTTGAATCAGGGTATTTCAACGGAGTACGCATTCTATTTAACACATTGCATTACATTGTTCAATATCAAGGCAGAAGTTTTTCAACAAAGCGTTGAAACAAGTTTTCATGCGATAACCATCATTTATCAGACTATTGAACGTTAAAGGTCATTGAATACACTGAGTGCTCTCAGTTTAATGAGAATACGAACTGTCAATTTGTGAAATACAATATTCATTCATTTATATTTAGCAGATATAGTTCCCAACAGGGGTTTATCATCAGAAATCTACTCCACTTATCGTATCATTTAACACTTGGAATGTGTATGACTTATATACACAAACTGTGCAGCCGACTTACCCTGAGGTGTGTTTTACCTGTGGAAACCGGGTAAGTGAAGCTAACATGTAATGTGGATACAAAGTGAAGCTAACATGTAATGTGTGGATAGCAGGTGAAATGAACGTAGACATGTAATGTGGATAGCAGGTGAAATGAGCGTAGACATGTAATGTGGATAGTAGGTGAAGTTAACATGTAATGTGGATACGGAGTGAAGTTAACATGTAATGTGGATACGGAGTGAAGTTAACATGTAATGTGGGTACGGAGTGAAGCTAACATGTAATGTGGGTACGGAGTGAAGATAACATGTAATGTGGGTACGGAGTGAAGCTAACATGTAATGTGGGTACGGAGTGAAGCTAACATGTAATGTGGGTACGGAGTGAAGCTAACATGTAATGTGGATACGGAGTGAAGCTAACATGTAATGTGGGTACGGAGTGAAGCTAACATGTAATGTGGGTACGGAGTGAAGCTAACATGTAATGTGGGTACGGAGTGAAGCTAACATGTAATGTGGGTACGGAGTGAAGTTAACATGTAATGTGGGTACGGAGTGAAGCTAACATGTAATGTGGGTACGGAGTGAAGCTAACATGTAATGTGGGTACGGAGTGAAGCTAACATGTAATGTGGGTACGGAGTGAAGCTAACATGTAATGTGGGTACGGAGTGAAGCTAACATGTAATGTGGGTACGGAGTGAAGCTAACATGTAATGTGGGTACGGAGTGAAGCTAACATGTAATGTGGGTACGGAGTGAAGCTAACATGTAATGTGGGTACGGAGTGAAGCTAACATGTAATGTGGGTACGGAGTGAAGCTAACATGTGAAGCTAACATGTAATGTGGGTACGGAGTGAAGCTAACATGTAATGTGGGTACGGAGTGAAGCTAACATGTAATGTGGGTACGGAGTGAAGCTAACATGTAATGTGGGTACGGAGTGAAGCTAACATGTAATGTGGATACGGAGTGAAGTTAACATGTAATGTGGATACGGAGTGAAGTTAACATGTAATGTGGATACCGGGTGACGTTTACATGTAATGTGGGTACGGAGTGAAGCTAACATGTAATGTGGGTACGGAGTGAAGCTAACATGTAATGTGGATACGGAGTGAAGCTAACATGTAATGTGGGTACGGAGTGAAGCTAACATGTAATGTGGGTACGGAGTGAAGCTAACATGTAATGTGGGTACGGAGTGAAGCTAACATGTAATGTGGGTACGGAGTGAAGCTAACATGTAATGTGGGTACGGAGTGAAGCTAACATGTAATGTGGGTACGGAGTAAAGCTAACATGCAATGTGGGTACGGAGTGAAGCTAACATGTAATGTGGGTACGGAGTGAAGCTAACATGTAATGTGGGTACGGAGTGAAGCTAACATGTAATGTGGGTACGGAGTGAAGCTAACATGTAATGTGGGTACGGAGTGAAGACGGAGTGAAGCTAACATGTAATGTGGATACGGAGTGAAGCTAACATGTAATGTGGGTACGGAGTGAAGCTAACATGTAATGTGAGTACGGAGTGAAGCTAACATGTAATGTGGGTACGGAGTGAAGCTAACATGTAATGTGGGTACGGAGTGAAGCTAACATGTAATGTGGGTACGGAGTGAAGCTAACATGTAATGTGGGTACGGAGTGAAGCTAACATGTAATGTGGGTACGGAGTGAAGCTAACATGTAATGTGGGTACGGAGTGAAGCTAACATGTAATGTGGGTACGGAGTGAAGCTAACATGTAATGTGGGTACGGAGTGAAGCTAACATGTAATGTGGGTACGGAGTGAAGCTAACATGTAATGTGGGTACGGAGTGAAGCTAACATGTAATGTGGGTACGGAGTGAAGCTAACATGTAATGTGGATACCGGGTGACGTTTACATGTAATGTGGGTACGGAGTGAAGCTAACATGTAATGTGGGTACGGAGTGAAGCTAACATGTAATGTGGGTACGGAGTGAAGCTAACATGTAATGTGGGTACGGAGTGAAGCTAACATGTAATGTGGGTACGGAGTGAAGCTAACATGTAATGTGGGTACGGAGTGAAGTTAACATGTAATGTGGGTACGGAGTGAAGTTAACATGTAATGTGGATACGGAGTGAAGCTAACATGTAATGTGGGTACGGAGTGAAGTTAACATGTAATGTGGGTACGGAGTGAAGTTAACATGTAATGTGGATACGGAGTGAAGTTAACATGTAATGTGGGGTAAGCGTGAAGCTAACATGTAATGTGGAACGTGAAGTGTAATGTGAAAAAAACATGTAATGTGGGTATGAAAATGTGGATCATTTTGATTTTATATTTTTTTAAAGTGATAACAGTGTATGTCGAATGGACTTATGAAGACTAACATGTAATGTGGGTACATATAAATGTAAAATAAAAAATAGTGAGAAGCAATGTGGGTACGGAGTGAAGCTAACATGTAATGTGGAATAAGTAATTAAAACGTCATTATGCTTCTAGTGATTAAAATGCCAATCAGAAACATTTGTGAAACTATATTAGTTATATTGAGAATATCCTACGAACTGATAAATAAATTTCACATAATCCCATAATATATATACCATTTAATATTTTTAGCGTGGCACACCTGGATCAACGCAAAATCGAGTTTTATACATTTAATATCTGTATCCATGGGTAGATTTACTAAAAGATATACTATTCATTCAACGGTTTTTAGGTGTCCATTGTTCCACAGTCACCCAATTCCCCTATATGATATATAGGTGTATTTGCCATAGAATTAAAGGCAAACTTGCCGAATTATAAAACAGACTAGTAGTCGGTACGGTGAGAGAATGTTATTGGTTATGTCAAATACTGCTTCTTTACCTCAATCAAATCAATAAATGAACGGAAAAGTTAATGTTACTATAGTTTTTAGTATCACTTAATTAGTTCTTAATCATAACGAATAATGTTTAAAAAATCTATCATCCTTTTGACAAAGACTGTGTATTATCGTTTTCACTATATCATTACTAATTAGGGGATGGCTTGCTTGTTTTATGCATATACTGGAGATTTGATAATGGAATTTATTTTAGATACGAGACGAAATCGAAAGAACTCTACAGAATTTATTATCTCATATCCAATATATGCATAAAACAAACATATTATCCGCCGTCTAAACAGATTTAACTTAAAATCATTTTAGATTGTATATTTCAAAAAGCTTCTATCATGCGTAGTTTTCGACATATATTTGAATGCGAGATGACCAATTTGTAAATGTACTGTAAAATGAAATGTAGATTTATGTAGCTGGACTTAGATTTCACAAGTACCTTATTGAGAAGAACACTAAAGAATGCATTTGCAAGTGAAGATATTTAATAGTTTGCATTAGAATTGCATCAAATAGTAGCAAAAATACAAATCACTTTGTTTACCAATCGATATCTTTTCGATTGTACAATAACTAATCTCAATTATTCTTACCTGCATGTTGATTGTATGTTTAATCTGTTTATAATATAATATTCACTTTGGAGGAACAACAAGGAATTTTCACCGTGTCTTATAGAAGTTATATGGTCCTGCTCGGTGTTAAGTAGTAACGGTAAAATTGAATGCTGAATAAGGACACGCCATTCTCGCTTATTCCTGCTCAGGAAGAGTATTTGCATGTGATTCATCGTATGCAATGTATGGCATTTCGGTAAGATGACAGTATCAAGTTGTCACTCAGTTATCCCATTTATAGAGATTTACCTTGTTTGTTAAAAGGACGTTTTACATGTATAACTAAATTAAGCCAGCATGATGTCTTTGTGTTTATAGTGATCTCAACTTTCATATTCGGTTATCAACTTACGCAATACTGACTTAGGCTCAGGAAATACTGTAAACAAATGCCTTAGAAATGGGACCAATAAATATTGTGGTTGGGTCGATCATTTTGGTAAACAACTGAGTATTTTAAGTGATATACAACGGCAATTAAAAAGTTAATATCACACGCATTCCATAGTAATGCTACGACCTGTCAGTTATGTAAAGCTTAAGGAATAGACCTTTATAGTACAACACAATGTGTTTAAAAACAATAAAGATTTAGGAACAAAACACATAATGATAATAAAAGTCATCATATCGCCGCTTTGTTTTGGCTTTCGATGGGCTTGTAAACAATGGTTTTAATTACATTACATCCCAGTTTCCTAGAGACTGATAAACATATTTCTAGAAATATCTTTAAATTGATCGACATAACTGTTATCTAGCAATCATTCGAATAGATTCTAGATGAAATAATGAATTTCCATGTTTTCTTACACCTCTATACCCCTATATATTGATTTCATGGAATCGGTCGCTGTTTTAATCAATAAAAAATATTATCTGTATACGAATATATGATATTAAGATATTCATAATGAATTATCTTAATTAACAATATTCGACGGTATAGCGTGATTAAAAATTAATACATTGTTCCATTTCTTTGAAGACATCAACATGGAAACTGATGAAGATCCCGCGGTAGCCAGTTTGGCGATCAGTAATATTCTTGATGATGCCGGATATTCAGAATTTTCTCTAATGAATAACCGACATTGTTGTCAGCTGTATAATTTCTTTGCTGATATCCAATATACCACATCAGGAATGCCTGCTTTAGGTATTAAAGGAAGACTCATAGGGAGTATGGGAGAAGGAACTCTGCTATTTTCAAGTTACAATTGTACTTCATGTGATATTGACATGATGCTAGTTCTTTCAAAATGTGAGGCATATGAAGATAGTAATATTCATGTTCCTGCAGATCGCTGGCAATTTCATATGGAACCTTGCATAACCAATCTTGGCTACGTCAAACTGAAAGTTCTTCAAGAAGGAACGGTATTTACACTTCCAGTTTCAACCTCTATATCTACCTTTTTTGAATACGAGGAAGAAACAAATACTCACTATTTATCAAATGCGATTCCTGCCACTATGAATAACTTTGGAGGACCCATTAATATGTTTGACATGTACTTTCGAAGCATGCAAATAGAAAATGCACTGAGAAATCAGATCGTAACAGGGCCAGCATTGTCTCGTGTGACAAGTGGAATGAACAATCGAGGTACTTTTGTAATGAATAAGGTCGATAATGTGATTTCTATTTTTTGTCCTGTTTGGCCCTCGGTTGCGGAAGAATGGATTACACGAAAGCGTTCCTATGGCTGGCCATCTAATGATTTCATATCAAAACATACAAATTGTGGGTGCTACGTCGTCCCAGTCGGATGTAAAGAATGTGATCGACAGTATCTAGATTGGAGACTGTCGTTTGCTCTTGTCGAGCAAGCCCTAGTTTTGGACTTCAACTCAACTCAAATAAAATGCTTATTATTATTAAAACAACTTAAAACCTTCGTGTTTCAGGACAAAATAGGAGACATAATTTCGTCCTACATCCTGAAGACTATCGTTTTCTGGGTGATAGAGGAATCCCCTCCCGACCTCTGGGTTCCAAATCGACTTCTCCAAACAGTCAAGATGTGTTTAAACAGGATTATTTCCTGTATACAAGAGGACTTCTGTCCAAACTATTTCATCCGCACGTGTAATCTATTGACGAAGAGGTACACCGCTACAGAAAAACAGACTGTACTTAAAGTATGTATTTTCACTAGAGTGAACACACGAGTTTTATTGTGTGAAACAACGCCATTCAGTGACGAATTTAGGTCGCGATACATGGAGGAGGTAGCATTAGATACTAAAGACTTGGACATAGTGTTACCGTTAGGAACACGCCTCTTTTCAATACAAATGAAGATACTGTGTGAAGAGGTGAGTAGTTTCATTAGAGTACCATTGTCATGTCAGCAAACATTACAAAAAGCTATAGAATATTGTGGCAAAACATGTGTCGAAATAAAGAATATATCCTCAAAACATGACATTCCCCTGCAAGAAGTGCGATGTCTTACAACGGAAATTGAACTGATTCGTAACCGCTTGCTGTGGATGAATACGAATCTAAGTTCAGAATGCAAGCCACGGTATAAAGACACGATATTGCCAGCGTGCAGATTCAGTCGGATAGAGGATTTAATGGAACATGTCATTATTTGTCACCTGAACGTCGTTGTTGGTAACATTATTACCAGCAACGAAATATTAAGATCGCTTATTTCACAAATGAAACAATTGCCATACGGTCGTTTACAGTTACCAGTTGATTCTATCCTAACCACAAACAATCCATTAGGTCTATCAAATTTCATTATGGAGTTTGCAAATTCGGTTCTAAATGGGTCAGATTCGTATGTGCCATTTTTGTCAGACATCGTGTTCCTACGATTTGAAAGAGACATTTTGCCACAGCCTTTACAATTGGAATTGTGCTCGCGTCAAAGTCAAAGCGACCTTAATGACGTTACTGTTGGCATGCGGGATACGGTGGCTGTTGATCCTCTCGTGTACGCGTGTTTTCTTCGGTTCTGGTGTTGTTTGAAGTTAGATCAGAACATAGAACAGCTGAAGGCACGTGACGATATGGTGTGGTGCTGCAGTCTTCCTGGCATCACCAATAAGGCTGTGGCATTCAATCTACTTGGGTACTGTCACCAACGCCTGGAGGAATATGAGGACGCTTTCAGGGCTTTTTATACGGCGTGGAAGCAGGTCCCCCGAAGTGAAGCGACCGAGGTTCACATTTTCGCCTTAGTGTACAGTACTATCAGGAGAGAGTTAAACGAGACATGTCCAGACTGATTCACATCGGTTATGACGTTCTCGTTGCATTTTCAGAGAATTCTGCATCATAACCAATCACTGATGTTTATAACTATATTTATTTTAAACAAAGAAGCAAATATTGATATGATGTTGGAGAATGATTACTATAAGACTAAGGCTCATAGATATGCGTATCTTAGTAAAAATCCAGATAAATATTATTAAGTGTTCCAAATGCTTCATTAATTTCAGTTGTTTTTTGTTTTTTTTTTTTTTGTTTTTGTTTTTGTAGTTTTATTCTTTAGGGTTCTATGTAGTCTTGATTTCCCTATTTAATTTATTGCTAAACACTTATTCATGTATTCATTCAAAAAAGATATATTATTGTAATATGTACATTTTAATGCCGTCATGTTTATTCAAAATGGCTGGTGGTAGTCTACACAAGTGACATGATACTTGTAGTTTTCGTTTCATATCAATGTACGCACTTGTATCTAAAATCAAATCTGAAAGCTGTTTAAGCATACAAAGTGAAAGCGTGGTCAGGGTTTTATGTTGACGAGGGTGAAGAAAGACATTCTGCAACACTTAATGAAAATCAAACCTTCAACGGTTTTGTTGTTTTATCTTTGCCTACCTAACGTTGACATTACGCTGGATTATGTCTGAAAACGTACTCAAACATAAGACTTCGCGACGAAAAAAATAGTTAAAAATTTCAAAGGAAATGATAGTGAGTTTATGAATTCTCATTATTAAATTTGTTCAGTACAACATATAGAATTGCTTATTTCAATAGTTTTGAACATGGTTTTAAGTACCTTCAGAATTAGATTTCGTGTTAAAACACTTTTATTTTTCGTTAGTGCCGATTACAGCAAAAGCAGATATAGAATATGTATTCCGACCGAGATATATATATACTTTATTATAGAATAGGCAGTAAGAATAAATCCAGTTTCAATCGTTAATTGAAGTGTATTCCTCTTTTATACGTATTTTCTTCGAGAATCGACATTGACGATGAATTCGTCACAATATCAAAGCTCCTTGTATCCATGTCATCGATATAAATTATCATTAACCATATCATAATGTGCATAGAATCACCAAAACTTTCACAAATTATTGGTATATATAAAACAAAATTTTATGTCGGTGTGTACAATTTTGTTATAATGAATGTGTATGGAAACATTCTTTAAGAAGTGTTTGTATTGGTGCATCAATTTATTGTCACTGAATGGGGATAATGGTGCTCATAGCTTGGTCAAGTGATAACTTGAAGCATGCTATTGGTGAATAAAATGCAGTTCGGATATAGGTTTTGACATATGTGAAACATCTATTCACAGAATGATACAAAACAAGATCTTTTTTATATCGAATACTTTCGTATGTTATTTCACAGGATTCATTTTTATAGTTGTGATAGCATGAACTTCACTGCGTCCAGATTTTAGTTCGGATTCGAGCTGTATATTAAATCGCCCTTTTTATAGATACCATTCATCAATTGTAGATCACGTTCCTGTCACGATTGTATGTTTACATAACGTGTGATACAAATTGCCCTATGAAGCTGAGGATGGGCGTGACATCAGTAGTCCCTAAACCTGAATAACCATTGAAACGCACATCAAAATCAATAATATATCACGTGATACATTTATTCACCTTAGATCATCATACTATTCCTTTTGCTTTTTCTATTATTTAATTATTGACATTTGTCATATATTTACCATATCACGTTGTATAAATTCTCCATTATTACACCAGTATATGTAAGATCTACAAGAGTATGTGACATCCTGACGTTCATACTAAGTTTCCTATATTTTGTGCATGCAATTCCATAATGACATATTGTATATCAATAAAACATTTTTATTGAAGTATTACGTGCCATCCAATATATATGTAAAAGCGGTTTCTTCTGCGGTTAAATTTAGATATGCATTTGTCAATACTTCTGTTCATTGCCACTCATTAACTATGTCTCTGAAGACAAAACAGATTTCAGAAACAGGATGGAAATACCAGAAAAGTTAACAAAACGTTATCTAAATTCACACGCTATTGAAAAGAGCAAATTATCGAAAGTGATTAACGGAGACAAGTTTAGAAAAATTGTCAGAGGAATCAACGAGAGGTTGCTGAATCTCTTATCGCCTTATTATCGACACCTGTATGTAAAATTCACTCAATTCAGGTACATGAAGTTCTCAAATGTGTTCGCACACCGTTTGGTCTCATTCTCATGGTATTGTTTCATGATTCTTCGTGTAGATAGTTTTTTTTCATCTCATGCCCTAACCACATATGAGTTTGGATAAGAGATTGTTGACGTATAGATATTTTCGTAAATGCCTTGATAATGAGACACTGTATCGTCATTTTCAGAATGGCCTTAGTTGGAACTTGTTTAAATGTTCATATGTTAATGGCATAATAGTTTGTCCGTTATCGTTGTTTTGACATAGAATCACAATTGTTTATCCTCGAGTGATGTCAGAGACATCGTTGTATATTTGCAATTAAAATATTCTTCTTTCTTACTTGCTTTTGGGTTTTTGTCTTTAAATTACCGTTGATATGAAAATAGAAATGTTGTGTTTATATTTTAGAAAAAAAAATAGTAAAAATATCTATTGTAGAGTGAAACAATGGACGCCAAGGTTATGAAATTTATAATTTCGACAGAGAATCCGAGCACTTGTCCTGCCAGAAGAGGTATTGATCCTACATTACCTCGACATGGAAAAAAAATAAAAATGACCAGTTTACTCATTAGAGCCTCGATGTTTAGGCCCCAGGTACACAGATTTCATTTTTACATCCTCAAACTAATATCTGATGATCTATATAGCACAGAAGACACAATAAACCTAACCAAGATATGTTATTCCCCTAGAAACTACCTAAGATTACGCGGTAATGAAATGTTTAATCAACCAATCTTTTCCAATTTACTGTCTTTGCTTTCTGTGTCTATCTCACTGTTTTACAAAACCGCATGAGACAAAAAATATCCAAGTGAAGGCATTTAAGGCAACGACGTTTTGCTTGATCCTTTATATATATAGAAAATGTCCGAATTCGAATTTGTGGACTACTGTCTTCGTCGGTTAGTGGTTCGGATAGTATAATAAGATACACTTTTTTCATTTAAACTTGCCCCAACGCACACTGAATCCATTAACAATTACACATTTAAAACCATGAAGCAAACACCTAGACTCATGAAACATATAGGGACGATAACACGAGGTTTTTGTGAAGAGTTATGGGGATTTGCTTCATCGACGACGAAAAATAAAATTAACAACGTAACCACAAGGCAAACTAAGGAACATCAAGCACGGCCAATTTCATGTGGCACAAGCATTACCTAATAAGATTACTATGGCAACCGTAAAACTTCCCAATGACTTTCATGAACCAGCATCTTTCGAAACCATGTGTGTGCGTTAGGCTTTCAGTTGTCAACATCGTGATTTAGTTGGAGCTACCACAAACAAATAAGTCAATCGACGTGCTTTTTGCTGTAAGACAGTGTCATTTCTGGTAAAATATGTTTATATAGTCACTAAATAAAATAATATACAAAAATATGTCATCGTAGATGAGCAAGGTTTTTACAACAATTAATCAAATTGGCTAAACGGCAACATCAAAACCTACACTGGATAATTACTGGAATTGTCAAAACGTTCAAAGTATGTTCATGTTAATGATATTTAAAACAATTCTGATGTTCCTGAAAAATGAAATAGGAACCCGTTATAAAAGGGATACATTTAAACTATTACTTTTTGTTCCTAACTTGCCAAGGACTTCTGATAGCTACGTACAACTTTTTAATGTTGGCAGTATTGTTTTAGGGTTTCAAAACCCCATTTCTTTGCTATAATTATTCCAAACCTACATTTAGTGTTTTTCAATCCTCGACCGCCACTAACAGGATGATGGTTTAATTCAATATCGAAGAAACTTCTGTAGCCTCTGGATCCAAAATGAAATTATTTGTAAATAATCTTATTGTATTCCTGATAGAAAAAAATGTGTTTGTTTGATACTATTGATATCATTTAGATATTCGTTTATTGAATACACAGAAAGCTCCCCCAGTTTACTAAGGATATGGACATTTCAGAGTATTTCATTCGTATTTATGTTCAGTATTGATGATTATCAGCAGAAAAGCATTATTTTTTACAAACGGCTAAGTCGACACCTTATCTATATACAATTACCGTACATGTATTTATGCAGACACATTATCTTTTTCTAGCTTAACCATGTGCAATGAAGTTGAACGTATACCTCCATGTTGTAATAGATACACACAAGAGACAGACGATTTTATGAATACATCTAGGCAAGTAACGCAATCAAAAACAGTTTCTATTCATTTGTGTGTGACGACTGATGCCAAATCATTATAAAAGGTTAGTCAGTATCATAGACTATGAACACGTGTAAAAAGTTAGTCAGTATCACAGACTATGAACACGTGTAAAAAGTTAGTCAGTATCACAGACTATGAACACGTGTAAAAAGTTAGTCAGTATCATAGACTTTGAACACGTGTAAAACGTACGAAGATTCTTGTAAATCGCCATTAAAATAGGAGCGCCATTCTAGCGACATTGCCTGGACAAGGTTGCGGAATGGTTGTAATCAGTATGCTCGGATGTCATTCATAGTTCCGCCAAGATTAAAGTATCAAACCACTTCATCTATACTGTATCAATTCATAGATTTAAATGATAAATTTAAATGTTATTACTAATATATCAAGAAATGAAATTTTACACAGCAACCGAATAGCGTAGTTTACAAAGCAATTCGATAACGATCAATCAAAGTACTCATACATTAAGGAACCCATTGTCAACTGGTTAAATGTACATCGTCTTTAAACACATGATATGAACGTAGTACGTTGTTTGTACATAGTCATCACTCACTAGATTAGAATTACATTTGAATGTTTGTATTACTTTCGTGTAAACTGACGTTTAGAC